CAAAAAGATGACTTTTTCCAGGAAAAATAATCCTACAAGGCCCATAAAGAAGCATCTCTCCTGTGGGCTTTGCTCCAGCTCAGCCCATGGAGCCCAGAAATGACATAACTCCAGGTGGAGCCATTGAGGGGCCCAATTTGCCTACAGGGAAGCTGCCCTTGTCTACTCAGGTGACAGATGCACCACTGGGTCCCTTGGCTCTGTTAATAAAACCTGCTCTTGTTTCCTAATGTCCAGGGCCTGCAGTGACAGGGCCCTGGGCCTGTCAGCACCACAGTGATAAACCAGAGAACACAACAAGCCTGGAGCCACTCAGTAGCTTTTATTAAACCTGACAAATACCCAATAACCCAGGCTTCTTGCCTACTTTCCTAGAACATTTGATACAAATTGCACGGAGGCTTGAAGGGAAGAGTATTTCAAATGGGAACACGGTGGTTTATGGTGGTGCCCCTGGCTTTCCAGGGCAGTGGCAGAGTAAGGAAAGCTCTCCAGGTGCCTTTCTGCAAGCCTGTCTCAGTGTGACTGATCCTGGACCCTTAGATGATTGATCTAATGATGGAATGCCTGACTCTGGGTGAAAACTGGTAACTGGCATCTCCCGGCATCTTATGAAGTGATTGCTAAGCACCTACTCATACATTACCTCATTTAACATCCACATCAACCCTGGGAAGGATACTTTAGTCCTAAGTTTACAACTGGGACGACTGAGATGCAGAAAGTTTAAGTGACTTACCGAGGTTACATGACTAACCTAAGAGACAACCGAGACTCCAGCTCAGATCTGGGTCTGAGGTTCAGTGTTCTGTTGAGTTTCCATGCCCTTCACTGTTCTCTTTCCTCACTTCCTCTGTAAGGGGGTGGAGGTCAGGCCTTGTTCTGCCCTGGACCTGCAGTGAGAATGAAAGAGCTGCTCTCTATGCTTTGATTGTGTCAAGTAAGACAGCACGGGGACAACGCTCCAGCTTCTTCCAAGAGGAGCAGCCTTCCTCTTTATGGTGTCTCCCTTCTTCATCCTTCTTGCTGAATCCCAGTGCCTTGGTGCGGGACTGGTGTGTACAGAGGAGAGCAGCCAGGAATCAGTGCTTCTCAGAAGTGAGGCCATTGACTTCTCCACCTGCCTCGCTGTTCCTCATTTCTGAGAGTGATGGCAGCACCCCTACTGAGATGCTGTCTGTCTGGTCTGGTCCGGTGCAGGGAGGACACCCTGAAAGGGGAGGCAGGCTGAAGGCCCTGCATGTCCTTGCCTGTCACCTGGGAATTTAAGCAGCCAGGGCTTCTGCATCAGTTTTGGATTTAGAAGGCTTGCAGCCTGCCTTCTTAGAAGTGTGTCCAGCCCCCCAGGGACTCTGGGTGAGAGGCCATGGGTTGGGCCCGCAGAGAGTGGCTGTGCTGTCAGAGGGCAGCTGATAAGACAAGCACATGCCCCGGCAGGCTCAGGGCTCCTGGATGGGTATTTACCTTTGCAGAGCGCTGTGCTTCTCACCACTTGAAATTCTCCTAAAAACCCAGAGGAACAGCTGAAAATATCTCAGGTAATATGAAAATGAATAAAGGCTCAGCAAACAGAGCCCAGCTTCTGAGCAAACAGCCAAAAAGGCAGGCAGGCAAAACAAGAAAAGAAGAAAATGCAAAAGGAGGGTGGGCAGGTGGGAGAAAAAGAGAGAAAGTGGACGTGGGAGCAGGAGGCGGCCAGGTCCGGGACTTGGCTAAGAGCTGTCCTCTATCCTGGGACCCCTCTGCCACCCACACATCTATTTACTCTAGAGTTAGAATCAATATAAACTCTTACTGTAAGTGATGGGTCAGAGCAGAAGTGCTAAGAGGATGCCCAACTCCAAGATGCTGCAGGCACATTTATAATGTGCTGATTATGAGCCAGGTGTGGCCGCAGGTCCGGTCCTGGGGCACAGAGATAAGTGAGACAACATATTGATTCACAAAATGTGAATAAATGATCACCAAACACTAGGCGCCCACTGTGTACAAGGCTTTATCGCAGATACAGGGAGTAGGGCTGAACAAAACAGAGCCTCTCCCATCAGAGAGTCTGTACTCTAAGTGGGAGGAGGACAGTGAATAAACACCAAAGGGAATTTGGAAATAGGAAAGTGTTAGGTGCTGATAAATACTGGGAAGAAGTTAGGGTCCCGTGGGGAAGTGCCCAGATGTTGGGGAAGTGCCCAGATGTTGGGGAGGGCTCTCTGAGGACGGGATATTTGCACTGAAACCTGAGGCATGAGAATGTGGCAGCTATGGGTGGATGGAGGGGAGAGCAACTCAAGCAGAAGCAAAAGCAAGAACAAAATACACAGGATGGGCCCCAACAAGTGTGCCTGGGGAATTAGTAGTCAAGAGGGATAGTGAAGAAAAGGAGGTCGGGGGACAGAAAAGGGCAGTGCAGAGGGTCTCAGGAGACCACACAAAGGCAGTAGGAAGCCATGGAGGGCTGTAATGGGGAGAGTGATGGGTGCTGTCTCTGCGCTAGAAACACCACATGGTGGTTGTGGGAATCAAGGGGGCCTGACAGAGGCCCTGCTAGCTTGGCATTGGATAGCAGCAGGGATGGACCAGTGTTGCTGGATTTGGGTGGTTGAGGGCTTCCTGATGATCGGGATGTGGTCAAGGAAAAGGAAGGAATCGAGACTGACTCACAGGTTTTTAGCAACCGGGTGGAGGGTGCACTTTTTACTTAGTTGAGGAAGGTTTGGTGGGGCAGGGCATCAGTATAAGGATTTGAGCAGGGAAATTGAGGGATCCGTTTTGAATACGCTAAGTTTAGGATGCCCTTGAGACACTGAAGTGGGGATGTTAGGTAGACAGTTGATACAGTTGTCTGAGGATCTGGAAAGGGGTATGACTGGAGAGGTCAATCTGAGAGACCTGGGTGAGTAAGAAGGTATTTAAAGCTTCAAATTTGGACAAGATCACATAGGGAGACGTGATGCAGAAAGAAAGAGTGTGCAGCGTTTTTAGGAAATGCCAAGAGAGGACACTGATAAGGAGTGTCAGTGAGGTAGGAGAGAAGTCAAATGAGTGAGGTGTGAGGACCTGGAGAAAGTTTTGAGAAGCAGCAATTGACCAGCTGCACCAAATGCTGCTGGGCAGTCCAGATGAGGACAGAGAATCGACCACATACTTCAGCAAGGTATAGTTGTTAGTAATCTTGATAACTGGTTGGCGGTGGAGTAATAGAAAATAAAGCCTGCCTGAGTGGGACAAGAACGGAGGTGAGAAAGTAGACAGGGTGAGTAGAGACAACTAGTTTGAATAGACTTGCTCTGAAGGGGAGCTCAGAAAGAGAGAGAAAGCTGAGGCTGGGTTGATTAAAGGGAGGGTGATATGAAGACACGTTTGCATACTAAGGGGAATGATCCAGTTAAAGAGGAGAAAACTGATAATGCGAGAAGAGAAGAGTTGCAAAAATACTCAGAAAGTTCTTGGAATGGCACAGGAGAGTGGGCTCAGAGCCCAGGGAAGGTGTTGACCTTGGGTAGGAACCCGGACGCTTTGTCCATTGTAAGTGGGGGATGATATGGCCTGAGAATTTAGTTCTGAGGCAGATACAGCAAAGGGCTTATTGATGGGAAGATGAGGTAGTTCGCATCTGATAGAAGTCTATTTTCTCTGTGAAATATACTACAAGGTCATCAGCCGAGGATGGAGTAGGGGAGGGAGTGATGCAGACTCGGGGAGAGAGAAGAAAGTATGATAGTTTCCCCCAGAGACTGGGAAATTGAATTTTCTGGGGAAGTGTAGTAGGTTTTTCTGACAGCGTTGAGTGAGATTTGTGGCCATGTTTGAAGTGAGTCTAGTCAGCAAATTTGTGTCATTTTTCTCCAGTAGCGTTGAGCTGCTGTGGTGCAGGCCCGGAATAAGCAGGTAGCAGGCCAGGACTAACGTTCTGTGAGAGTGGACAGTGCAGGGAGCACTGCAGGAAGGCCAGGTTGTTGGCAAGGGAGCAGTGCAAGTGTCGGGTCATGGAATCAGAGCTGGGTAAGGAGAGAAGTGAGTGCAGGTGATGGGGATGGGTAACTTTTCTTTTTTCCATTGGTAGAGTGCTGTGGCTTCACGGCTCATAGCAACCTCAAACTCTTGGGCTTAAGCAATTCTCTTGCCTCAGCCTTCCAAGTAGCTGGGACTACAGGTGCGCCCCCCCCCACCCCCCCACCTCCCCCCGTGCCCGGCTTTTTTTTTTTTTAAAGAGATGAGGTCTCATTCTCGTTCTGGCTCAGGCTGGCCTTGAACCTGTGAGCTCAGGTAATCCACCCGCCTCGGCCTTCCAGAATGTTAGGATTATAGATGTGAGCCACTGCACCTGGCCCTCAAAAAAAGGGTTTCTTAGGGGAACAAGGTTGAAGAATTGCTGGAGTGGGAGTGTCAGAGTGAGCTAGCCTTTAGGAGGGTGCAATGGTCAGAAAGTGGGGTGTTGGCAGTCTACATTTTGCAGGTGATTCAGTTATTGGGGTATCTAAGGAGTGGCCAGAATAAGTAAAAGCTTGTGGGAGCTAGGGAGAGAGTAAAAGCTTGTGGGCCTAGAGGAAGGTCAGCCACCTGGGAGGCCAGGGTGTTGAACAGATCACCCCCTTGACTGTTGAAATCTGCAACAGTGATGGCAGGAATGACGTGGCGAAGGAGTCAGCTATCCTGGTGCTGAAGCCATCCACAGAAGGGGGGAATGACCAGGAGGTAGAGTGACCTTGTTACCTGTATAAGAAGGGTCATGGGTCTGACAATAAGTGCTTCAAGTGAGCTTGGATTTCTGAAAGAATAAAGCAGGCGTCCTCAAACTATGGCCCTCGGGCCACATGCAGCCTGCCTAGGACATTTATCTGGCCCGCCAGGTGTCTTTGCCACCACTGCCTGTCCTGCTTAGCAGCCGACTCATCCTGGGGCCTGCAGTCCAACCCTCCAATGGTCTGAGGGACAGTGAACTGGCCCCCTGTTTAAAAAGTTTGAGGACCCCTGGAATAAAGTTTAGAAACTGCAGTACATGCCCACTTTGGCAGTACATATACCAACATTGGAATGATACAGGAAGATTAGCATGGCCCCTTCTCAAGGATAACATGCAAATTCATGAACCATTCCATGTTTTTTTTTTTTTTTTACAAAAGTACAGTTAGAAGAAGATACATTTTAGTATTTGATGGAAGAATAGGAAAATTATAGTTAAAAATAGTTTATTGTACATTTCAAAAGAGCTAGAAAAGAATTACACATTCCTAACACAAAGAAAATGTTTGAGGTGATAGATACTCCAGTTTACCCTGATGTGATCATTACACATTGTATAGAGGTATCAAAATATCACCTGTACCCCCAAAGTATGTACAATTATTATGTATCATTAAAACATTTTTTAAAAAGAAACTACAGTGAAAAGCAAGGAGGACACATGCCTACCTTCTGGTTCTGACGTATATGAGATGTAGGAGAAAAACTGCTTCAATTAGAAAGGGCTTCTGAGGAAAGGGCTTCTGAGGGCTTTCTTGGCCTAAAAGCAAGAAAGTGAAGGAGTCAGCATGGTGTTGAGCATCTACATAGTGGTGCATGATCCGGGAGGCTCAGGAGAATGGGAAGCAAGGCATGATGGGATTATCCCTCAAGGTATAGCAGCGGGTAATGGAAGGAAGAGAGACAGGGCCTTCAGTTGAAGGGCTGGACTGACTACAGTTAGTACCAGGGGGTGATGAAGTTCTGGGTGGCTGACACGGCCACCACTGGAGGTGTGTCCACTGTTCGTGTGTGGTGATGGAAGGTAAGAATGCTATCACAGGGAATGTCAAAGTGAGAAAGACATTTTAGATATCCCCAGTTCAACTTTTTTATTTTTCGGATGAAGAAAGTAAGGGCCAGAGAGGTCAATTAATGTGTCTGAGGTCATCAAGCTGGTAAGTGGGGGTGGAATTTATTCAACACAGAGGTGGGGTATAGTTTGTATATGCTGCTGTCTGAGATGGGGTGGAAGGAGCAGGAGACTGGAGAAGTTTCTTCTTCCAGCCTGGCTGAGCTGGGAGGCCACTTTGTCATGCTGAGCCTGTCCTTCCCATTGGAAACCACAGAGCTTGGACTCCCACCCTGTCACCCCCTGCAGTACCTTGATCAAGTGCCCTTGCTTGTCTGGTTTTAGGGACTCTGCTTATGACTGTAGGCATCCTGTGTGGCACTAAGTAGGTACAGTGGCCTGTGGGCTGCTGTGGGCTGCTGTGGGCAAGGCTGCAACCCAGCCTCTCAGGAGTGGGCTCCCGTCTGACCAAGCGACTGAGTTATCTACCCTGTACCCAGCACTGCTGGGGCTACTTGCATGGAGCTCAAAACCTGGCCGAGGACACAGACTTGCTCTAGGTACTCACAGGCTTAGTGGAAAAGAGACCCCAGAAGCTTTTTAATTCACTTGCCTCATATTTCAGAGGAAAGTAAGGCAGCCCGTGGGAACAACAGAACAAGAGCTTTGGACCAAGGTCACCATTGTAGGCTACCTTTCCATTCAATTTGCAGCACCTACCCTATGACCCCAGCATCTGGGGGGTGTCTGGTGGGCCCATCTCCTTCCCACAGAGCACCTCAGAAGCAGAACACGGGGGAGTCCTGGCCCCCCACTCCAGTGAGTCACGGTATCTGGGAGGACCCTTCTGCTGCTCAGGATAGGATACCAGTGAACGTGGCCCCGAGGAGCTAGCGCCTGCCTTTCAGCCCTTCTCTCTTTTCAGCCTGCGCAAGTGTTAAATACAGCATCAAATTAAGCAAAATTAAATACATTTCCATGCAGTATTTTTCTCTTGACTGAATCAAACAATGCAGTTGCCATAGCAACAGCCTCTTCTGAAAAGGTCACCTGCAAGAAACTGTGTTTTAGGTACAATTCAAGGAGATTATGGGGGATTAACTCATTTTATACATATATATTAAATATATATTTTTTCCCTTTAAAGGGACTAATATCCAACTGAGCTGGAAGATACCCACAGAAAAATTTTAAGTCCCTGATAAAGGATTTTTTCCTTCCCTTTTTTTTTTTTTTTTTTTAACCAGCATGCAGTGGGGTGATATCTGAAATGGCGACTCTGTTTTTACTTGGCTTTAATTAAACCTCAGTCGGGGCTGAGAAATGTGGTGAAGCGAGATAATTGCACTATTCCCAGTACAGTTTTTAAACTCCGGCTTTGATATGCACCTCGTGACAGCCTGAACCTGCACCCAGGCTCCTGGGGCTGTGTGGAGCTCAGCTTATAACCACCCCTCTCAACCTGCGGGCATCTGGGGAATGGCACTGGGGACCTTGGCTGGGAAATGAAGGCTGGGGGAGGTGGGGACCCAGGCAATCTGCACCAAGGTAAGGAGACACTGAGTGTCCTCTAAAAAGTTCATCTCTGGTTTTTACGAGTTTGCCACTGGACTTTAAAATCCAAGCTGTTGTGGAAGGAGGACCATAAGCTGGTCTAACTCAGAGAGAGAATTTAGAGTTATTAGAGTATCTCCAGGAAACTCTTATTGGACTTGAGTTGAATTGGGCTGCCTGGCTCAGGTTGCTTTGTGAGGGTCACAGGGAATATGGGGGTGATACGTATTTCTATTCTGTGCTCTCCATCAAGAGTAGGTGTGGAAGTCCCCCAAGATAGAGGCTCCAGATTTCATATGCTCACACATCCCCACACAGCCCCATGGGGACTCATACCACCTGCCCAGCCTCCTCAGCGATGGTACAGGCGTGGCCATTGCTATACACGGAGTATGTCCGGCCCCTCCCTGCTTCCTTCTGATGCCTGCTTGCTTTCCAGGAGGGCAGAGGGTGGGCCTCTGAGGGTGGCCAAGCCCAGGATTAAGACAAATGAGGAAACAGTGACTGAGCTGGCTTCCTGGGCACCAGCTGGACAGCTTCTCTGGAACCAAAGTTTAATTGATTATACTCTGGAGACAATCCAGAAAGTACTGTCGTGGCTCATGGTGGGCTGGCATGAGTGAGGTTCAGCTTTCTGTGGAGCTCAGGCCACTTGCTGGGGCCGTGCCTCCCCTCTGGGCCAGCAAGAGCCTGTGGCCAGTGGCAGCTCAGAACTACCTCAGAAGGAAAGGAACCAGACTCCTGTGATATATACACGTGACACAGCCAAATATGAGTCTAGCGATGTGCAGGGGAGGTCCAATTTATACAAATACTCTTAGAGGGGCGGCACCTGTGGCTCAAAGGAGTAAGGTGCTGGCCCCATATGCTGGACGTAACAGGTTTAAACCCAGCCCTGGCCAAAAACTGCAAAACCCCCCCCCAAAAACAAATACTCTTAGAAATGTTCCTTCAGTGTCTTCCCAGTGGCTAACATGCAATCATATAAAACTTCTTTCACTTCCTGTCCTCAGATCCCCAGACCCTAGAGTCCCTTCTCTTAATTTACCTCTATGCTAGACAAGGTTGGCTTGGGTGGTATAGTAAAGAGGGGGACTTGCAAAATAGGGAGACCTGAGTTTGAATTCTGGCTGCCACTTATCAGTCGAATGCCTCTCTTTTCTTATCTATCACATGGGGGTAACAATAGCTACTGTCTTAAATAATAGGTCCCTATAGGGTCATTCCGAAGATTGAATGAAATGACCTGAGGGGAAGTGGCTGGATAACATGGGTGCTCACCTGGATGCTTGCTGAATACCACATCTCAGAAACATGACTTTTGTACATAACAAGGCATGTTTCCTTTCCTATAAAATCCAGCTTGCTAGTCCAGGGATGACTACAGAGATTAAAGGAGGAACAGCAATTTCTACCTCTAATCCCCTAATACAATCACTGGAGATTTTCTGGAACTCTTAAGAAAAGCAAATCTATAGTTATCCCGGGAAGAATTTTATTTATGGAGCAACTCAACTCTGTGAACTCACATGTGCCCTTAAAAGAAGATTCTCGAGTGCCTAGCAAAACAGGAAGGATGTAGGATTGTCCCAAGTAGAGAAAGTCTGGTTGCTGAGTTACTCAAACCCAACTATTTCCCCATTTGGGGCGAGGTAGACTGCTGTTGCCATGACAGTGGCATCACATAGCGGGGGCTTTAGTTACATTCCTTTTGCTGTCTTGGGTCCCACTGCCCAGCTTATCAGATGAGATCTCCCAAGTACCTTCAAACCAGCTGGTGTTATTTTTTATATTATTATTATTTGAAACAGAGTCTCATTATGTCACCCTCAGTAGAGTGCTGTGGTGTCATAGCTCACAGCAACCTCAAACCCTTGGGCTTAAGCGATTCTCTTGCGTCAGCCTCCCAAATAGCTGGGACTTTTTTTTTTTTTTTTTGTAACTGTCATTGTTGTTAGCAAGGCCAGGCCTAGTTCAAACACGCCAGCCCTGGTGTATGTGTGGCCAGCACCCTAACCACTGAGCGACAGGCGCCAAGCTAAGCCAGCTGCTGTTAGTGCACCTGCTTTGCAGTCAGACAAAATTGGGTTCAAAACCCTGCCTCTGCCAATTTACCTGCATGGCCTCTTGGTAGTTACTTCCTACTCAGAACCTCAGTTCCTGGTCTATAAAATGGGAATTTCTGTTTATCTCACAGGTTTATCTCACCTGTCATTGCCAGGTTTAAATGAGATGATACTCATGAAGTGCTCACCACTCAGACTGGCACCTAGCGGTCTCTCAGTCTGTGGCATCCAAGTTTCTGTATCTATCCCAACATGTGCTGCCATCAGCATCACTGGGAGGGCTTGCTGAAACACAGATTGCTGGGCCCCGGCCCTGGAGTTTCTGATTCAGTATGTCTGAAAAGAGGGCTGAGACTGTGTCTTCCTACCAAGTTCCCAGGTGGTGCTGCTGGTGCAGGGACCACACTTTGAAAAGCCCTGGTCTCTGTCATCCAGTGAGGGAAGTATTTGACTCATTACATTGGAGCCTTCTGGGCATCAGCTTTGTATACGAAGGCTTCTAAGTGGGTATAGGAGACTAAATTTAGACTAGTGCTGGCTAGCCTAGAGCTTTCTGCAATGGTGGAAATGTTCGGTGTCTGTGCTGGCTAATTTGGTAGTCACTATCCACATGTAGCAATTGAACCCGTAAAGTGTGGTTAGTGCAAGTGAAGAACTGAGTTTTACATTTCAATAGCCTCATGCAGCTAAT